GCAAACCCGGCTGTAGGAAATTAATGAAAGACTAGACAGAAGTAGAAGAAATGAAATAATCGAAAATAATCAAGACCTCATTGCGACGACGATGGTTGGAGGAGAGAAATGGATTTGCAGTCATTATAGTTACTGCAAAAGTATATTTGTTGTTAAATCTCTGAAAAGATTCCTAAATTTGTACACCATCTCCTCGGTTAAAGGTGTTCTAGGGTTTTAAAGTGACTCGGTAACATTTTTGAAGATTGCTTAATTTGTGTATAAAAATTTACTTATTACATTCCTTCTACTGCACTAACTCTCTGACACGCAAAAAATCCTGAAAAATTCTCAAACCACGAAGATATCTATGTTTTTTCATTAAAAAGGGACATAAAATAGGCTATTAGAATTCTGTCAACACTTTAATGTCTGGAATAGTATGTAGAGCCAATGTATTGCTGTGTGACGATTTACATTCACCTAAAATATAATCAGATTGTAACAATATAGTTGGGAGAATTAAGGAATCGATCACATTCATTTTTCCCAATTTGTATCATTAATAATGGTCCGTTTTCACTGAATTTTTCAGATTTTCTTTAATTGTACATCTAGCATTGAAGTCACTACCTTAGAACCACTATCTCTCATCTGAACAATGTTACCAAGTCACTTTAATGATAAACGTCACAATCAATGGTATAGTACAGTTGATAACTAACACCTAAAAAGAAGCTGCTTCATATTCAAAAGGTGATTTCTAACATCTTTGAAGTTCGGTTACCCTTTAAATGTTTTTTGATAGAGCCATTTTCTTTCTTAGATATCATTGTACAGTGAGAGATTATGGGCTACTAGGGGCGGGTGGATGGGAACCATTAATCTATTTAAGAACACTTTATTCGTCACCGTTCCTAGTCCTTGATACACTTTGGTACTATGGCAACGGCACTAAGTTGGGGCAGGTGTCAGAAGAGATAGGCATTGAAGGGGCCCTGTACCTGAAAATCATTTTTTTTAAAAGCATATGCTGTTTTAAAACCAATGTCCTACAACATGTGTGGATTCCTGAGCCCCAACAAATTCTAGATCTTTGTATTCTGTCGGCCAGGGGAATGATAATAAAGATTTGCTTTGAAAAGAATCCATATGGTATGGTATGTTATGTATGGTATATTTTATTTATTCACGGTTAAAAACAAAAAATACAATTGTGCCCGCATTCAGCAAAAGCTGTTTTCAGCCAGGCCGTGATTACATATAATTAGAACAGAATATAAAACAATGAAAATACAATTTACAAACAAATATGCAAGTTATAATAAGTGAACATATATACAGAAATGTAAGTACAAAATAGAATCATAGTGACAAAGTGAGGGAAAAAAAATTATCTACGAGATGAAAGAAGTGAGCAAATATCTTGAATTTTACTAATCTCAATGTTGTAAAATTTAAAAACATTTATAATTCTGATATCGTTGGGTAGGGTATTAAAAGCTTTGATGCATGGTATAACGGACTATGTTGAAGAAAATTTGTGTAAAGTCTTGGAAGGGGGATTCGTGAATTTGCATAACGGAACATTATAGCCTACATTAGTATTAAATTGGATCAATGACGATAAAACATATCACAGCCTACAATGTATATACAATGATGAAACCAAACAAAATTCAGACGATTCCACCAGGCATGGCTGAATAAAACTGACTAAAAAATATATAATTATATGAAGTTCAAATTAAATAGATATTTCTTTTGCATTAATATCCTGCATGAAGACTTATTAGTAAATGAAATGAAAAACATACCTTTAATAAAATGACCTCCTTAAATAAGGTATCTCTTTAGTCTTTTGAGTCAGCTGTTTCACCCCAAGGTTTCTCTTAGACACTAATCCCATTACAGATCTTGCCAAGAGTTCTGACTTCTCAAAGTAGCATGAAGAAATCCCAGGCCATGCACAATGATCAGAAGATTGTTAACCCATCTCACAGGGAAATGATCGCTACGAACTTGATTGACCGAATTAAAAGAGGTCAGTTTCTCTCCTCATTTGGTGAATAACATCAACATCATATCTATTAGTCTGAAGGATCACTTTCACAATGGAGTACACACAGGGGATGATACAAAGGTGCGTAGTTATTTAAGAATAAAAACTTTTTTTTCTTCATAATAATAATAATCATAAAACTCGTTGACAATTTAAGTATGATAGATAAGAGATCGCTAAATATATAACCAGATATAACAGATATAACTATCTTTGAATGTTTACAGGTAAGCAGACCTCTTATTGATCTAAACAGCCAAAAGTCAATGCATTCATTTACTTCTTTTAAATTTAGTTGATATCAAAATGAAAGAATAAGAATAAAGACCCTTAATTGTACTTCCTTCCTATTCATTACTTTATTTAGATGGCAATGAAGCCGTTTTAAACAATAAGAATAGATATTGTAATGTCAATCCAAACTACGCGAATTTTCATTTGTACAAATTAATTCGTTTTCTACCTTGAATTCAGTCTCACAATAATTACAAGGGCATTAACAAGGTTCGTTGAAGAACAATGCTTCGCTAATCAGTCTTTAAAACAATGACTTTTACATGTCGAATGAGTCACCTTCGCACTTGACATTATTCTTTGGGACTTCAACCAGGAACAGATCCAGGAGTCTAAAATAAAAATGGGGAGGGGAAGGCAGTTAACAAATAATAAATAGTTACAATGGGGAAAAATGTTTGAAATGGTTATTATATCGTGAGGTGATATAGTTCATGCAATAAATCTATTACATTCAAATATAGTTATTCGATTTTAAGGTGCCTTTTTAGTCTGAAATTTGAAAGAAGGTGCAGGAACGCAATTAAGGGGCACATTTTTCTCTTGAGAATTAGATATGCCATAATGGGTTTTAAAAGTGCCCCCTATATCCGCCACTGACTTGAGCCCCATAGCGATGAAATTATGACTAAAAGGGGGCAAGTCTATTTTATTTTACAACAATGGGTATTTGGGGTCATTTGAGTCATCATATTTTTCTCCGCAATACTAGAAATGCGTTACAAATAACTAATTAACTAATTCAGCCAAATGCTAATTTTACAAATTGTTTATATGATACGGCTACAAAATTAGTCATTGTTGAACAAATTCAACGACATGTCCCTTCAACATATGGGATGCCTCCTTTACTGTGTGGGACATGTAGGAGGCTGAGCAAAAAACATATCTCTAAAGAATTCTTTTTATATATTTTTTTTTTTTACAAACTACAACATTTTGCTCGATGAGATAACTTGATTAGTATCAATTCCCAACCCAAAGAAGATATAAATATAGATTTGGAAAGTGTTATATGAACAGGAAAGCAAAGGTTGACTCTATATGTTTGCAACTTTGCATGTTCTATGAATATCTTCACATGTCAAAATCGATATCACAATCGAAGCACATCTTAAGATCTTATCAGTTCTCAGAAGACTAAGTTTCACAACGAAATATATGTCGATGGATTAATCCACACATATACTATTATATCTAAGTATTAATGGATATATTCTTGATTTTATTGATATTTAATGATATTCTGATTTATACAATGCACGAAATATGATTATTACACCGGCTTTAGCCGAGCTACCATGATTAAGGTTTCCATAGTGTGAAATTATTTATATTAATTTCTATTAATTCTCTTTGCCTCAGGAAAACTTGGTCATATTAAATAAAGGGTTATTAGTATTAGTGTCCAGGTTGTGGAATTTTAAACAACAAAATAAAATGCTGTCATGTTCTCTTTTGTCAGAGAACAGGACGAAATTTTGCTGACAAATGCAGGGAAATTTGTGATGATCGGCTTAGCTAAAGCCTTAGTATTTCTGTCACCACCTATAGTTACGGCCAATATGCATATTCCAGCAATATTTTTATTCAGAGGGTGATCGTATTCGGGGGGAAGAGCCCAGTGCTTCAATCAGTGCAATCATTTAAACGATTAGTTTCAACTATTGGTCATCAAATACTTAAATTCTTCTACACAGAATTGTCAATTTACCCTGATTACCCATTATAGCTCATATCCTAGTGTATCGGGTCTCTAGAAGGGATAGGATCTCTATTCACTACGAGTTGAGTGAACTATATTTACGCGTGATTTTTTACGATATCCAGTTGCCGTGTAAGTTTTCACCTATGCTACGAATCTACCATGAACAAGATACTATCTAGTACTATTTTGTAAGATAAGATGTTTTTGTTGGTGGCCTTCTTGTACTGTTAGATGCAGGTAATGGGTACTAACTATAAACTAGATATTCAATGGGGAGTTAGGGGTTAGTGTACTGTATAAAAGAATTATGCCGATTTGGGATTTTTTTTTTAAGAGGAAGATCGGTCTCGCCTCCCCCATTCGTAAAAGCCTGATATTTTCTTAATTTTAGGTGTTACTATATAGTTGTTATCGTGTAGGGGAATCGGGCCTGACAGTATAACATGAAATATCAAATAAGATTTCCACGGATTTTGATATAGGACAAGTGCAGTATCGCTTTGAACAGGTGCTACATAAGTGCTAAAGAGTAAGCCCCTTCAATCGTGTGTCAGTGTACAGGTGAATTTCATTAGTACACCTCATGAGATGATGACTTATATCTTTGTCATAATCTTTGCGACTAAAAATTTTGTTCGACATTTTGACCTGATTGCAAAAGTAATGTGATTGTTTTTAGTTTGATTCATTATGTGAAGGAGTAAAATTCTCTGAGTTTTCAAAACAAATTATTTGTTCAGTAGAGTATCGACATTTTTTGTCTTCGTTTTGTCTACTTACTTCAATTCTACCAGAATATACCTGATATATCCAGGTATGTATATTGTTAATCAGCCTGTCTCTTCATCATCCCGTTAATAAGGACTTGATCGCAAATGCGTGATATCCGCGCGCATAATGTGACGACGTTACGCAGTCAATAGCCAGGCATGCATGCATGCATGTACAGGAAAGTGAGTCAGATAGTCGAGAGCGCGCGGATTCCCGCAAGCTGGTTTTGATTCGATCACGACTCTCTCAGTGGTGCCGCCGTCCCTTGATCCAGTAACTAGGGGGAACAATCTCTCTCTCCCTCTTTAAACTCAACCCTCTGTTTTAACATCAAAGTGGCATCACAGGAAACAACAATAGTCTCTCACTTTTTCAGTTTTACAGGCCTACACTGCACCTTTTAATTTCTATACACACACAAGGGGCAATTATCTTGCTTCCCGCCGTTTTAAATTGCACTTTCCCGTATCGTTTGCCACTGGGCGTCATCGTAAATAGGAATATTGTTCTGACGAAAGGAGATCCTTGACGAGATTCTTGTTCGATTGACTTCCACGACGATGTCGAGCACGAAAAAGTTACTCAAGATGAGCTTGAGAAGGACGATGACGGTGTTGATGCATCTCATGATGATGGGGTTGGTGCTTGTTGGAGCATCGAGTGAAGAGGATGACGACGACGATGAGGTCGCAATGGGAACGGTAAGAATTTCTCTATTTGTTATCGTGAACACCTGTAGAATGATCGCATAATTATGTGCGCATTTCTCTGTGAAAGCATTATAATGAAAGATATTTGATAGCTTTATAGAATGTTAACATCATTTTAACAGGGATCTACATAATTCCTTTGAAGGGAATGTTTTATGGAAAATGTCACAAGAAGGGGGTCGTTCTCTTACTCTTGCTGGTATTTTTGTGGTAATTTGGGAATTTTAAGGGATCCTTTGCCTTATGACTCATAAATAAGTACTCGATCTACGTAACAATTAGGTGGTCATTTCATATCAATATTAATGAAAATTAGTAGTTGTTTATCAAAGTCGATATCTTGCGGATAATCATTTATGATGACATAATTTTAGATCAACAAGCCTTCCCCAAGGTCCAGCTGTAGACGATGTCGAGTCATGCGATGTCAGTCATAACTTCCGATCTCCTTGACGGTCATCAATCATCAAAGATGATATCATTGGAATCAAATGTAAACCGCCCAATTTAGTTAGACGGGTGATTTCGAACGAGTATTTTCATAGGCAGGCCTGTGGTTGGACAGTAAAACTTAAAGATCAATAAGATATCTAGCGATAGTTGTCTTCATAGATGGAATGGTTGGCTCTTTAATACTACCGTACAGGAAAGAAAACTTAGTTTACGAATAAATGAGTGCCATGCCTTCTATCTTCTTCTGTTCGTGCCCCCATTTCATGTTTCCAAAGCCAGATTCACTGCTTGATCAAGATGATCACGCCCGTTTAAAACAAAACCTTTGAAGATTACACTTCTGTTGGGTCACTAGTAGTTACGAAGAGAAGATAATTTCCGTGTAAGCTTTCACTATGGCAACATGTAAAGCATCCGGGAAGCCCAAGTCCGCCTGATCACGTTATAACATGGTCGACCAGACCCAGAACTGGAAAAACAGATTCGATTCTAATCTGGGTAATATTACCATGATTAAATTAAGGTCCTGTTTGCGTAAGTCACCAAAATAGCCTAGCATCAACTGCAAGGCGTACCATTATTCCTAAAGAACGAAATTTGAATAGGTATTTCAAATATAACTAGGAGCTGACATGAAAAATGATTCGGATCTTTCGAAATGTTATTAAACCGTCGTTAATCAAAACGGATCTGCAATGTCCACTGCAATCACTCTATGAGTCCTTTGAAGATGCTTATAATTGAAAAACGTCCGGATAAACTTACATTTTTTGCCCGCCAAATATGTGATCATGATTTTCTCTCTTACATAATTAGCTTTTGTCTCCAATATGGTATATCTAGACCTTCATTTTTTTCTTAAAACTTCTTTATATATACTTTCAAGAGGAAAATGGATTCGTTCAAGCCCTTTCTTCTGTACTGTAATAATAATATATGGTCATGCTGTAGTGGTAATCAGGTTATTAAAAACAGATGTTTTCACTCTAATTTAACCAATAGCTAACAACTAATATGTCTGCAAGGGGTGCTTTGCACATCGTCAGCAAAGCTAGCTTCCTAGAAAAATGAAGCATCAAGACTGTAATAATCTAACGCAGGATTACAGCCACTATCCACTGTACAAGGTTGTCTAGGATCAGTCATCGCTGCAAAATCCCCGCAGGATTGTTTCTTGGAGCAACATTAATGTGTACATGTGAATCCATTGAAGGCCAGCCAAGTCAAAAGAGGGAATCACTACCTAAATTTGGCACAGAACATCCTTTGAGGTTCCTGCAGCCTGTGTACGAATGGGTAAATGCTGATGAATGTTTTCACGATCACTGACAAAAAAAAAATTGTCATGATTATGGAGTTGCCGTGTGCGAAGAGAGGCCTATTCGTTATCAGTTTTATTTAAACATCTCTTGCAAGTCCTCGTCCAAAGCAATTCCTCATATTCCTCAATCGATCATGTTATAAATAAGGAAGGTCGATGAAACTGGATGATATCAATTGGGTTCTTTTATCGTAAAGATATATACTGATTAAATGCAAGGTCTACTCTTATCATAACGAATGGTTAATCTAAAGAAATTAGCAGTAGTGTGTGTATGCAAGATGGCGTAAATTGAAAGGCATGACTGATAGTACTGATATCCTGTGTTAACCTACTGAATTATTGATGTCTAAATCACTCTGAAAGGAGTCTGCAAAGAGTATTTATGCATATGGGCTACAACGAATCAGGTTTCAAGGTGGTAACATTTTGAGGAAAAAAATGTGTGTGCATTTGTGACCATTACTTTAGAATTTTCAGGTTGATGTAAGATAAAGTAATAACTCGATGTTTTGTTTTGAAAACCTTTTAAAGAGTTTGATATGGAAGTATCATTATCAACAAGTTAGTTATATACCCCAGTCGCAATGGAGGTACTTGCATGCAACGATAGTGCCAGGACGGATGGGAACATGCTCACATACAATGTAATTGATTTACCGGCAAAGAATACGAGCAAATAACATGAGCTAAACACATTTGATAGGAATAATAGCTAAATAATTTGATCAGCAAAGGAAAGGAATCGTAATAATTCCGGTTGTGTAATATCTGCTTAGTCCCATATGAGGGTATTATGTGTCAGGTCTTTACTGTATACGGTTTATAGTCTAAACAATCAAATTTATGGCATGTCTCACAACGAAACTGAGCAATGAAAATACATTTCAGACATTGTTAGCAGTTTCTATATCATACCAGAATTCAAGATAGCATTTACATAATAGGTTTAATAAAGCATTTAGGTATAGTCTCTACCCCTGTCATAATGGAGGTACTTTAACAAGTTCCCCCAGCATGCACAGTGTCTTTGATTGGAAGTCTCCCGGTATCAAGGCTTCGAGTTGAATGATGTCTCTTCAAGCTGCCATGTACTGATCAATAATGAAAGCCCTTCACATACACTAAACCCTGTCATATCATTTCTTCTTGACTGCCTCTACACTCCATTGTTCAGTTGTAGTTTACCCAGGCCTCCCACGTACACAGGAAAGCAGATGCTTATTCATCCACAGGAGGTCCCAAAACGATGATTGCTAAAAAGTTATCATTTTACAGATCTCTCTGTGCGAATCTAAAGATAGACGGGTCTGAAATCGAGGCCCTAGGATTTAGATGTTAACTGTGCATAATCTGTTTTGTCAGGTTTAATTTCATCGAATTGTGAATTGTCTAAATATAGACCATTCCGAAGAAATATGTGTAATCATGTTTTACAGCATAACAAATATACTGCATTCCAAAAAAAAACTAAATTGAAAAGTGAAATTAATATCTGGTTATACTTATAGAATTTCACCAAAGAATATAATCCATATTATTCAGGTGTATCTTGTCTTTAAAGGTTTGTTTGTCAATTGCACGTGAAATAAAGAAATTCAAAGTACGTATTTTGTTCTTTTGATATTTACTCAGTTATTGTCTTGAATCTTCCAAAGTGCAAATTTGAGCCGTTGGAGACAGATTATTCCAAATGCACTGTATTCAACAATGACGAATCTTCCTATTTTGTATAATTTTTTATAAAAGCGAAATTCTAACCAGCGAAAGTCTAAATAACAAGAATACCTTTTTACCGTTGTCTCCGTTCGGGGAGGGGGGGGGGGGGGGTGGAGAGAAGAAGACATAGATAATGAAATCGAGTTATTGTTAAGTTTGAAAGGTATTCATGCACATTGTAAACACAGGCATACTGATTGATTACGTGCAGAGGTGTTTCATCAAAGTTAGAGTGCAACATATCGGTCGTATAGGCTTGTAATTCACCCTGTAACTGATACCATTAAACCATGGGCGGAAATGTGAGAAATATTCCCTATCCCCTCCCGATCCACTTAGTCATCTGTCAATAGGATGCATAGCCCTGACACATGTCAAGAGTGAGCCTTGGAATATCTCGAAAGGTTAAGACAAAGGTGACACGAATTCATCGAGGATCCTCCTTAAATCTCGTGAGAATAGTGACATGTCTTCTTATTTAAACCTGATAGCTCGGCCTACATTCAAATGATTACATTGAAACCATACTTTGATTAGATACTAGTAAAAATCTACTTTCATTCTCCTACATCATAATTTTCTGTTTAAGGCTGGTGCCACAGAAAGTCACGACATTTTAGTCTGATACATAGGTGTCACTTATATCATTTTCCTTTAAAGTGTGTGTTACTTATCTAACAATACAGTTTTGACATTGGGCATGTTAGGGCACCACCTAACTGTACAATTATCTCTTTTGTTATTTTATGAATATTGAAGAAATTTCAGTATTGTCTTTCTTTATATAAGTTGTAATCAACAACCATCATGTGACCATGTACTTTAGAAGAGAAACAATTTCATATGTATGATAAACCTTTTACATACAAAGACAAATTGATAACTATTTTCTTCACCTAACTTGATGATGAATTCATATTCTCTTTCACTCGTCACCCATGTGTCATTATACACAAACATGAAACTACTATTTTATTTTTATGATACAGGACTATCTATTTTTAACGAAATGAGCAGTACAAATATATCATCAAATGCAATCATCATCGTACAAACACATTTGAATTCGATGGCAGAGATCTCAATATGAAAGTTGTTTTAACGGAAGGGCTTCCTCCGCCATGTCCATCGGAAAAAGAGTATTAATTTGATGATCTTCTCGGGTCATCCTGAGTGAAAGATGACCGTCAGAGATCGAGGATCTTCGTTAATACACCAAATATAGTTTGCAATTGATATGTAAGTAGTGACTACACACATTATTTTGTGTGCACATTAATGGCCAAGCTCAAGACAATGTCAATTAATTTCTCAAACGGGGGTTGAAGATTGGATTATACAAAAGTGTATGATAAATGATTTACGAGATAAAAATACGTGCAACAAGTTAACAAGTTACTAAACCGTTGTCAGGCCAAATTCAACTTTGAGATTCTGTTTAAAACATATAATGAAGAGGATGAATTTATCGCATAGAATAGTAAGTGAGATGGCTCAG